TATTGAATAACAGCGATTATTTAGTTCAGGGTTAACGTTATTTCGTACTACTGTATTTGTGCGTCTTGTGACATGTTTTTCAAGCTGATTTGAGTTAACAATAGGTACGAAGGCAGTTGTTTCCTGGGATATGTCTTGAAGTAAACAACTGTTTCTGATGCATAGTGAATGTTCTTTCGGTTCGGACGGACCCATCTTTTTATTCCCTGTACAGATTTCATGGAAGTCATGGTTCAAAGATGGACATGGCTGGCTTCTCTCGACCTCTGAAACCAAATTATCAACAGTAAAAGAGGGTAAAGATGAATCTCTAAGTGTATAATTCTTAGATGAAGTATATGGAAGCACTCTGTAATTAAAATTGAGCTGAGAATCATTACTAGTGGTGTCACACATTGACTGAGTAAATCGATTGGCAGTACTTTTGACTGTACGATGATTAATCACGGGTATTTTATTGGGAGAAATCAAAGGAGATAAATTATCAACACTAAGAAGCTTCGTTTCAGCCATTGGGTTAGCGTCTGCGCCACTAAGATCAAGATCTTTGTAATGTCGATTAACTTCTACTTGTTGTTGTTGTTGTTGTTGAATGTTCCAAGAATTGCAGGTAGCATTCGTAACTTCTTTAACATTTCGTTCATCCAAATGAGCACGATGTTCAAACTTGTTAATGTTTTTACTAGAATTCTTCCAGCAGATAGTATTTATCATTTCTTTTGTACTGATGTTACAAGGAAGTTTGTTTTGTTCGTTTTGAACAGAAATCAGAATCTGATTGGTGGAAGGCATACTGGACTGAAGCTGACATTGTTGAAGAGATCCATCAAAAGTTTGGCTCGGTGAAACTGTGCTGGATAAATCTTGTTGGAAAACCATCTACGAAAATATGAAGTACTTGTCAATTTCTTTTTTTTTTTTAGTATATATTTGTTCTTTAAGTATGACGTAACGAAATATTAAGTCTGTTACAGTTGCATTAGAAAATCATTTACATAATTAACTTTTTCCCCAAATTAATTTTAAAATAACAGTATCTTTCTTATCCAATATCATCTTATATCGGAAGTAACTTGATCATAATGTCAAAGTTTCTGGATTAACTGAGATCACATACGTGTTCTAAACAGCGATTTATCACAGACGAACATAAGCATGCTTTAATAACATATCAAACAATGTATGGGCGAAATATGTCATTATTATTCTCTTAACATCATAAAAACAAAAAATGTTATTTTAATTTCTCAACCTCTCAGCGACATTATGACAAGTCAGTCTAAAGTTTCTGAAAAGCAAGAGCCTTTATCTTTAACATTTCAATTGACTATCTTATTCACGTAAAGATTAACGTTTCTCTTCCTTATATCCTTACAGTGCACTATTTTATTATAACTTACAATAGCTTACGTAAACACCAGGATATATTTGTATAAAGAATAAAATCTAGATCACACCTTTGATGACTGTAGCTGTTGCTTAACCATAAGAGAAATACTTTTGTTCTGGAGTTCTAAATCGCTCACTCGTTTTTCCAGTTTTACACATTCCTCTCGTAAATTCTGAATTGAAAGAAATAAAAGTTATAATTAACTTCTCTTTTCTACTAATGATCTATCTGAAAAGAAAATTAGTACCTTGGAATGTTTTTCAAATGTACAATGTTTAAATGTGTTGGAGAAGAAACAATTGAAACATACAATTGCAATTTTTCGCTTCGTGTAGATGCAGAAATATTATGATGTGGTGAACACAAATAATTTTGATCATATTTTTCGCTTCGTGTAGATGCAGGAATATCATGATGTGGTGAACACAAATAATTTTGATCATATTTTTCGCTTCGTGTAAATGCAGGAATATCATGATGTGGTGAACACAAATAATTTTGATCATATTTTTCGCTTCGTGTAGATGTAGGAATATCATGATGTGGTGAACACAAATAATTTTGATCATATTTTTCGCTTCGTGTAGATGCAGAAATAGCATGATGTGGTGAACACAAATAATACTGATCATTTTTTCGCTTCGTGTAGATGCAGGAATATCATGATGTGGTGAACACAAATAATTTTGATCATATTTTTCGCTTCGTGTAGATGCAGTATTATCATGATGTGGTGAACACAAATAATTTTGATCATATTCTTCGCTTCGTGTAGATGCAGAAATATCATGATGTGGTGAACACAAATAATTTTGATCATATTTTTCGCTTCGTGTAGATGCAGAAATATCAGGATGTGGTGAACACAAATAATTTTGATCATATTTTTCGCTTCGTGAAGATGCAGAAATATCATGATGTGGTGAACACAAATACCAAGTTGATAATACAAAGAATAATTTATTTTCAGAAAGACATTAAACTAGCACAAGTTTCTAATCAGAAAAAAACAGAAGCAGTAAAAAATATGTGTCCCATGTGAACAAACAAGTGTTTTATTTGAATTCTAAACCACTTCTACTGGATATATAAAAAAAAGTTTTTTTAGTAGGAGCTACAAATCTACTACGTTGACAAACAATCCATTCTACATAATTATATGCGATTAGATGAAATGGAAGTTCAACCATTTCGCTATATTTTTCAATAACTGACATCCAAACACTACCTAGTCTCCAGCTTCTGTAGATGTACATCGTTTCTGCTATAGCAAAAACGTCGTACAATCCAGTGATAAAAGCTCTTACACCCAAGAATATGAATAATGGAATTATTTATTTCCTGGGAATTTCTTCTCTTTTAGACACGCAAACATTTCTTTTCATCGTGAGCTTCATAGTGACTATGGAAATATAGGAAACGGATATTTTTACCATTATAAGATTTAATATGTACAGAGTTAAGGCAAAGCTATTTGCCTAACGTTCATAATTCGACAAAACTAATCATCAGCAAAGTTTAATATTTTGGATATAAGGTAATAATATGATTCGACAGACTGTTTCTATGCAAAAAGTAATGATCAACAGGGAACGCTGATAATAAGGTTTACATACAGGAATCTCCATACAACATGCCATAATCCAAGCTGCCTATTGAACGTTAGAATTGCTATTTCAAAACATTAATAATACCAAGGAAATAACAAAGTGCAAAATTATAATTATATATATATATATATATATAAGTGAAACAGCTAACGAAGAATATTCTTTAGAATGTTGTTTAATTAAGAATGATCGCACCAGGGATCGAAACCCGCTTTTTAAAAAAAATATTCTTCTCTGCTGTAAAAGCTGACTGGGAATAAAAGAAGTTTTATTTTATTAATGTAAGTGCCTCTAAAAACTGTCAATGAAGTATTCGCCTAAGTCTGCATATTTTGTTTGTCTTTCGTTAAAAGGTCGTATATTTATTTTTTTAACTACTACACACGAAAAAAAGTAATTTAACATTTAGAAACTAGCCAGTGCCTAATTTTGTTTTTAAAAGAAAACTAATTTAGAAAGAAAATCTTCGTCCTTTGGTTTGCGATAACAAAGACACTAAATTAGATGAATAACTAATGCTTGAAGTTTACTATTAAATACATTCAGTTCTGTTTGTTTAAGAAATAAAAATTTAAAGCGTATTAGTTATTAGTAAAACATCTGCGGCAACTATGCAACAAATAATTATGTTTATTTAGTTTCATTAATTTCTTCAAGCTCACAAGAGGAACGATCCACATATAACGGAATAGGGGCTAGGGTTGAATTTCGCCCAAAACTACACGAGAGCTATCTGCGCTAGCCGTCTCTAATTTAGCAGTGAAAGACTAGAGGGAAGTCAGCTGGTCATCATCACCCACTCTTTTACTAACGAATAGTGTGATGTAATATCACATTATAACGCCCCCCATGGCTGAAAGGGCGAGCATATTTGGTGGGACGGGGATTCGACCCTAAGATTGCGAGTCGACAACCCTAACCACGTGGTCATGCTGGATTACATATAACAGAGCAGTAGTAAAATGCAGCTAATTTATTTGTTTATTTTGTACAGCTGCTAATAATCAATTAGTTTCTGCTTTATCCCGAGTAGCACAGCTGTCTTTTAAGCCTACCTTTAGTTTGGAATTATTTGAAGATATTTTTCTTTTAATTTCTTTACAATTCGTTCGTTTATACTTGAAATTCTTATTACATGGTTATAAAACTAAAGTTTCTGGACTTTGCCATATTTTTGTTTGTTTTTTAGAAATGTAGAAGACATAAATATATTAACAACTCCAAAGAACAAAAGAATCATACCTTTTGAACTAGTAAAGCCTTTATTACTTGATTGGCTACTTCATCAATACATTGCTCATACTGCATTCTCTGTTGTTCACTCTCCAGAAGTAGCGTGGAATTTTCCTTCTCAAGCAACTGAATATGTTCCAAGAAGACTTGGTTAATGGAAAATGCTTTTTCTTCTTCGGAATTTTCAGTGTCCTGAGAAATATTACATTTGTAATTTGTATCATTTCATAATATCAACTTTCGATCAGAGGAATCTCTGTACATGAAGTGAAACTAGAAAGTCAATTAGTCAATCACTATGGTTAATTAAATATACTTTACTTAAATAAATTACAATGCGTCGTTTCATTAGTTGAGTAATCTCGATTTTAACGACATATCCGGCCATAATACCAATAATATATCACTATAATATAAATATTGTTTGTTTGTTTTGAATTTCGCGCAAAGCTACACTAGGATTCTCTGCGCTAACCGTCCCTAATTTAGTAGTGTAAGACTAGAAGGATGGCAGCTAGTCATCACCACCCACCGCCAACTCTTGGGCTACTCTATTACCAACGAATGGTGGGATTGACCGTCACATTATACACCCCCCCCACGGTTGAAAGGGCGAGTATGTTTGGTGTGACGGGGATTCGAACCCGAACTCCCTAACCGCCGGGCCATATATAAATATACTGAGCTAACAATGCAAAATGGTCTCTATAATAAAAGCATAAAAAATATTAAAAACGAATAATATTTAAGACATTAAACAGCCTAGCCAATACTGTTAATGACAGTAACAATAAATAAATAACATAGTATACCATAATTAGAGAACACAGAAACTCTAGCTGTTCACATGAACTAATGTCACAGAATTAATTTTCTTCGAAAAATGTAGCCTCGGTTTAACATGCCTGAATTTTCTCCAATTTTATCTTACATGTCTTTTCACTCATGAAAACTCATTAGGCTTTAGAAGAAGGTGACTTAGCTTAAGCTATGCTCTTTATTTATATTTCTTTCTTTATTTATATTGTTCCATATATAGAAATAAAAAATATTATCTGAATTGCTAATGTATTTCACAGTTCATTTCATCAAAGAAACAAACAAATGGTGAATTTTGTATTAAATACGGTTATCCATATTTTTCGAATTTCCAAAATATATACGATTTATTGGTTAGAAGTATTTTTTCACAAAATTCGATGAAAAGAACACCGTATTAAATAAATTGCAAGTTTTTTTCCAAATTAATAAACTCGCATTACAGTACAAACAAAATTATATGCTACAAAAAAAACACGTGCAAGTTATTTTTACTGTAAGTAATGTTAATACTATATATGTGTAGGTTGTAAATCAGCCACAATACACGAAGGAAATCACTTATTGTGAAATACCACTCCGTGTTCTAACATTAGATGTTTCTTACCTTAGACAGCATCTGCTTTAGAATAATATTAATGATGCACTTTATAAAGATTACTCCAAGTTATCGTCTTCTTTGCAGTTAGCTTCATAAATTTAATGGATAAAAACTATTAAACTTCGTATGAAGTTATTTAATGCATCTTTCTTTACGAAATGATAATGATGATGTTCTTCACTTACATTTCTCACGTTCCTTCTTTGTAACTCATTGAGAAGCAGCAAGTTGTTTCTTTCGAGGGTGCCAATGCACGTTTGATAATTCCGTAATTTGTTCTGGGATACAGCAACGTCAAGATTAAGAATATATTACTTGAAAATATTAAATACAATAAAACAAAATTGTGGTTATCACAGTTTAGTTAAAATGTAAAAATTAATATCGTTTTGAAAGAGTCGGCTATATTCAAGTATTTG